TCCAAATTTTTGGTAACATATTGCTATATAAATTATTTCTAAAAAAAATGATTGTCAGTTTCTCCTGAATTAACAATGCATTTTTACAATTATAATGAAATTTTATAATACGCTCAATTGAGTAAATCTTTTTACAACTTTTTTTTTTATAGGTTTATTTAGTTAAAGTAAATCTTTAAAATTAATTTGGTTCATATTTCAATTGTAGAATCTTTTTAAACACCAAAAGTTACTAGGAAATGATTACTATTATTTCTATTTAAGTTTTCTATTACTATAAAAAAACAAAAAAATATTGAGCATTTTTGATAAATTTACTATACATAATTATAAGTTATTATAAAATTTCCTGACTTCATATTAATCTTAACGATACAATTTTTTTAATTCTCATAAAATTTCCTATTTAATGATGTCAATTTCAAACTAGCAAATTGACATCACCATAAGTTATTGTATTAAATAATTTTTTTTTTACTATAAATTTTCATAAAAATAAACTTTAATGGATTAAAAAAATAGGTTAAATATGTCATTTTCCTTATTTTTAACATATTAAAAATCAAAATAAGTATTAATTTAAAACAATTTTTTTTTTGATCTTAATTATTAATTTATTTGTAATTACTTATTTTTTAATAATATTAAAACTTAGAAGTGATAGAAAAAGTCTAATTACTCATTTGAAAGCAATGCAAAAAGTATATTTTTGTTTCTGATGAATGGTCCTTGTAGCCCAATGTATAAAACTTATAACTTTGTTATAAGTAACAAAAATATTACATCAAGCCTTTTTAAATTTTTATACGCGTTAAAAGTAAAGAAATATACATTTACTTTATTATTTTAATAATATTTCCGTAAAAATTACAATATTAAATTATTGAATATCAATATCATACTAAATTTAATTACTATAATTATTATTTATTCATATATTATAATTATAAATCAAATAATTATTCGGGATAAAATCATGGGAATAAAAGTTATTGTTGCTTTTGAAAAAATTTACTAATTTCTTACAGTTAAACACTATCTACAGATTTGCATCGAAGCATTTCTTATGATAGTGATTTTAATCACTGTCAGATATCATCTATACTTGTCCCAACTATATTACGTCCATACTGTGCTGCGACCCCACGTGCTACCTTTTTTTTATATAATGCTCCGAGTCATATTACTTTTGATTGCGCCATACCTTAAGCGTATGTTGCAGAATTTTTTTAATGTTTTGTTGGTGCCCTTATTATTGTTTTTAGATATCCCATTGTGTGGTGAAAGAGGTCTCAGAACCTCTCGTCATATTTATATGTTTTGTACTTTTAGTATTCATTTATTTTTGGTAACTATGCTACGAATATTATTTATTATAGTGTACTGGGTAGTGTACTCATTACAATGAAGTGACGTATTTCATATTATTCCGGGGTGTATACCCGCCGTGATTTTGCGGTAAGAGGTGCTTGACGACATGCAGGTACCCGAAAAAGTTCTTCGTATTCTCTAAATATAGAAGTGTAGGTGTAATAATTTTTAGTAATGTCTTATTTTTTTCCTTTTGCCTCTCTATCACCTTTTATTACAGACGAGGTATTTTGACCGTTCGATTATTCGCCTAATATTTACTTATATAATACTTAATGTTCATTTTTAGTTAATAAAGTCCCTTTAATTTAACCTAACCATAAATTCTTTTTTTTTGCTTGTTCTATCTTAAATGGACTTGTGAATTTTGTATTTTATACCCTTTAAAAATGATATTCTCCTAGTTTATAAAATATGGGCAACGTTCTTGTATAAAGTCACCCATCGTGATTATATGACAACTTGTCACTATGTTTTGGTGTACTTCAACTATTAACGATATTTATCAACTATCAACTATAATCTTATTCCATAGTGCCATGAAAGTTTTAAAATTCTATCCTTGTGTTCAAAATTTAACGATATCATTTTTCGTAACCTTTTAAGGTATAAAAAATCTTTATGATAAAAAACTTCCCGGGAGCACTATCTGAACTATTTTTATTTATACTGATATAAATATATGATACTAAAGAGCTTAAAAAGGCTTATAAATGAATTTTTTCTAATTAAAAATATTTAAAACCTTTAATACATTTTAATAAATTAAAGTATATAGTACCACATTAAATTAACCTACAAATAGATGCCTGTTATGACTAATTTAATATTCAAAATTAGTGTGATTAATTTTTTCATGTTAGTTAGTTCCAAAAGTTTTTAATTTAACTGTTATATATATCGTGTCTAAAATATTGTCATTTTTATGAAAATTTTGCAAAAATATCAATAAAGGTATTGGAAGGGAACCTATTCCCGTCTTTCACTACATTGTCTTAACTTCTATTTTAAGTGTACGACTGAAAGAGAGGTCTAAGTATTATTTATTATTAATATTATTTATTTTATAGTTATTTTTAAATAATAAGTGATATCTAACAGTGTAAAAAAAAAACTATTATAAAAAAGCTTGATGAAAATCTGTAGATAGAATAATAAGCTATTATAACACTATCTGTTGATAGTGTTTAATTTTTAGAAGGAAATGTTGGATTATTCAATAATCAACATCAATTTCTATTTTCTTAATTATATTCTGATAACTAGTTTTATGATTTATAAGTATAATATAAATATAAATACATATTATAGAAACTTAATTTAGTATAAAATTCATAATCAATATTTTGTATTGTAATTTTTACAGAGAAATAATAAAAAATTATAAAATAGTTGTGTACTTTTTTATGCTTAGAGAAATTTGTATCAAAATTGTAAAAATGGATTATTCTGACCTTCGTTAGTTGATTATTATTTCAATCATAAAATAAAAATTTTAATTTATCATGTTATTGGCTTTAGAACAAATTTTTTAGTAAGGACAACCCCCTTCTTTTTCATATACTTAAAATTATATTTGTCGTTAATAGATACAAAAATTTTAATTAAATATTTATAACTAACACTTAAATCATTATTATTATTATTATTTATTATTTTTTTTTTTTAAGAGGATTTTGCAAAAATAATACAACAAGTTTTGAGGGTATGTGAGAATTGATTCCGAGATGGTGAGCTATTAGGATAAATTATAAGTTACTTAGTTTTAAGAGTTAACTCAGTCAAGATACTAGTTATTTAAAAAAACAATAGTAACTTTTTAACTTAAATTAAGTAAGCAAGTACAAATTTTTACTGTTCATAAAAAAGTTATTTTTATTTTAAGAAAATATAAATTTCAACTATCTATCATAAAAAATATAAAGAATTTTTTTTCGAATTTCATAGTATAACCTCAAAATAATAAATAGATAATTTAATATATATATTGTTATATTATTAAATATAGATATAAATTTTATTAAAAATCCATAATTAGATCTGAAAGTAAACATTTGAATTAGTAGATTGATTTTATTGTTAAACATCAATTAAATAATTATTAAATTTTTATACTAAATGACGCGGTGGACACACTAGATGTTAACAAAACCCTAGTGTTTAGCCACACCTGCTGCCGTAGTGTACGGATGGATGACTATACGTGCGTTTTATAATGGCAAAAGCTCCAGGTTCCAAGTGAAGAAGGCATCGGGAAACCACTGCACTTATCCCTTCCCTAGTAATATTAGGTGACCTTTGGGTATCTGGTATCCATCACCCGAAAACGGGTAGACATAAAAAGAAGAAGTTTAAAGTCCTCTCAAAATTTAGATATAGAGCTCCTTTTTTTTATCAAATACATGGCTTTCAGTACTAAAAAGACGTTCTACGAGGACAGCAGTGTTACATTGCAAAAATGCTCGTTTAAATTCCCAAGTAAATTTAATGAGATCTTAATATTTGAATTTGATATTTAATTGTGCACTCATTATTCAATATTGTTCAATATTATTTTAATACTTAATCCAAAGAACATGATTCTGTTATTTTTGTGCAAGACATAGACAATATATTCATAGGGCATAATTTATACATTTTTTTTTCATTAATATACATTTCATGTAACACAAAATTTCATTTCAGTATAACACTAAATAGTCTATACACCACAATTACTGAAAACTAACTTAACTTATAATCCTAACTTGTAACTTTTTAACGGGTTAGTGTCCAACCTTGTGGAACACATATTTTTTTTCTATATTTTTGGAGAATTTTATTTTTGCATTTTTTAAAGATGTGCTCTGAACTAACATTTTTACAACATTTCCGGTTCAAGCTTATTTTGTGAAGTTTTTTTTGTTTATTAGCATATAATTTTTTTTAATTACTTAAATTTTTAAATACTACTGTTAAAAGTGATAAAGCAAAATTAATTATCATTGTAATATTTTGCTAAAATGTGTTAAATATACAAATAAGTTTTGTGTAAGAAATATATATTTTGAACATGACAGTTTATCTCTATTGACCCTTTCATTTACAAGTTGATTTCATGTCTCCAGTTTTAAAAGCGTCATGTTAATATTTCTATATAAATAGCAGTTTTTAATTTTTATTATAATTTAATTTTTATTTTTACAATACAGAATTTTTAGTGGTATCGCTTTTTTGTTGATTAAGAAAAAGTTGACTCAGTTTTCATTGAGTAAATTCAAATTATAAACGATAAAAAGAAAAGACTTGAAAAAATGAAGATAAATAAGCAACGAAAAGAATTTATTTTTGTACATAAATTATATGTATTAGACGTATAATTTCGTGACCTTTGAGTTATTACGGTTAAACTTTGAAAATAATGATCAGTGATCATGACATTGATACTAATGATAATTCGTTCCCTTAAGGTGCTAGACAAAGGACATCGTTGTTTCTTATAAAAATCAAGGATCTTGATGTCTTAAGTTGAAAAATTTTACTGATATTAATAATTAATATAGTTATATATAATAATTATTAACATAATTGACTTTTTTTCTCAATAAATGAAATTTTAACTTATTAATATTTTATAAGTTGATACTTACATTGTTCACAATGTATTTTTTCAATAAAATGTTGTGTGTTACAATCACTGTTAATATACTGAACTATCAAAAGAACATAAAAATGAATATCCTGTACATTTTAGCCGGAAAATCAACTAGGTATCATTTACATATTTAACACTACTTGTCATCACTACGCTGTATTACTGAACTCGGTACCGCGGGTAACTGAATGTAACCACCAAGGTTAGTAACTACCGCGTGTACACTTGTAACAGACAACTGACCAGAACGCTCCAAACGTTTTAGGCGAGAAACTTGAACCCTGCAATTTAAAACTTCCTCCTCTGGTGTGCTCAATTACTCTAAAAAATATTATTGCGGTCTGTCGAATTAAAATTTAGACTCAATGACCATGATAAGTACCAATGTATAAATAAACAGATAAATTATTAATAACAAATTACAATCTCAAACATTTAATCACACTTTGAAAGTTTTATTTTGACAAAAAAACATACATACATATATAGTGTGATATATTAAGTATAGTACCCCCAATTTTTTCGTTATATAATGATTTTTTCAAAAGATTTTTAGGTCAAAATTTAATTTTTTTTAACCGTTGTAAATATAAAGTTCATTGCAAGAAAAAAATATTTCTAAGGGTAGATTTGGGGGGGGGGTTACTTTCGAAAATTAAATAGGAACCTATTATTATAATTTTACTATTAAACGGAGAATGATCTAAATAAAATGTCGATCAATTTTATATTATTTTATTTTAAAGTATTAAAATTTATATATTCATAAAATTATCAAAAGTACATCTCAATTTGGTTTATAACACTAAGCAAGTAAACTTCTTTGTAATAATTTCATTTTTATAATACGATGTTTGATCATAATATGAGGTAGGAGATATCGGAAGCTGAAAGAACAGTTACAGAAATGTACGACGAAGAAAAAAGAGGAAGGGGAACACGGAAAATGCGATTGGGTGGGTGTGATAAGAGGACTACTGTTGTGTATCGTATCAAGTAGGAGTTTAATTACAGATGGCCAACCCCAAGTAGTTAAAATTAAGGAGAGGGAAAAGAAGAAGAAGATCTGACATAGTACAAAAGTAATAGTTAAATTTAAATACCCAATTTACAATTGGCTCCAAAATTATTAAATGGCTGAGTGCCATATACTTTAATAAAGCCTAAAACATAATCTTATTAAGTTGTAATCATGTAAATCATGTAATATTTCAACAAGAATTATTTAGTTTATTTAAATTTAATTGACAAAATAACTTAATAAAGATGAAATCATTTTAATTTTATTGAGTATCTAAAGTTATATACATTTTTTCCATTACTCGTAACTAATTATAAATTTAATATACATAACGAAGTTTAATTGAAATGAATAATGTTTCTTTAATCGTTTTAAGATTGTAACAAAAACGGAGTTTAATTTTGTATCACTCACTATAACAACGTAATAAGTATCTATTTTATAAAACGCATTTAATAATTTATTATTAAATAAATTAATCGTACATACCATTTTAATTTACGCTGCAGGCTACTTAATATTTCTTTGAATAATAATCGTAAATAACGTTCTTTATAGACCTAAATCAATTAACTAAAAATTAAATTAAAATTTATGTAGGATGTGATAAAACAAGTATATCAAAACCCGTTTTTGGGTTTTATTTATAATTTTATAAATGATCAAAATTTTGTTTCTTATACTACGTTAAAGTTTAAAGACTTATAATAAATTGTTATTATTAAAATTCTACTGTACTTAAGTGGTCAGACAAAGCCTACGCATTGTTTCTGTAGATATAATTGTTTTGTAACTAAATCTTGTCTAAAATATTTTTAATTCACTTTTTGTGCGATCGTGTCAAACAAAATAAAAGGTCAGCTTTGTATAAATTGTAATATTTTAACTTTTTAGTGTCAGCATTATAATATTTTTATCATTTATACGTGTGAATAACAATGTCAAGTAATCATTACTCTGTTCCAACATATGTAAAAAATACGTTTGAAATTTTATAGTGAAAATAAAATATGTGAAACAGAAACCTTTAATTTATATTAGGTAACTTAATATAATGTTGATCTATTAATTTAATTTAATATTAAGCCATTAATTAGAATTAATATTTTTACAGAAATTTATACTTTTTTATTCGTCAGACAACAAGATTAGTAATTGCAGTTTAATTAAATCAAAAATAATTTTCTCTTATTACATGATATTTGATCTATTAAATAAAAATATTTCTACATATCTCATTTTGGAAATATAGTTTTATTAAAAACCAATAATCTGTTAACTCGCAAAATAACGCCAGTACTATCTTCAACATTAACAAACACCAAAACACAGTTCGGTTATAAAATAGAACGAGTTGGGACTAAAACCTCAGGCATTATTTTCTTAACGTCTAAACCTATATAATTTAATCGTATAACACATAAACATAGCGGCTTACTACCGGTCTATTTCTTCGGGCGTCAATATGTCAACTGCTGACATGTCATAGATATTATTTACTGTCAGTATCTCACGTCTAATAAAACTATTATTGCAAAAGTCAGAAAAAGATACAACTGACTAATGATGTAGTAGATTTTGATTAAATAAAAATAAATAAAACTAATGTATGAATTTTAATTATAATTTAAATAATATAATTGTTCTGGCCGATATTAATGTATTTTTTTTTTGTTGTTTGTTATCTTTGTGATTGCGCTGCTTGGCTCTATCGCCGTTAGCAGTAGTTAGTTCACTGCAATCCGTCGTTATGGTCAGTGCGATACGTAGTGTTTTATGTTTTATAGTATAGCGTTGTTATCTTAAAATATAATTATAATTAATAAACAAATACTATTATTAATAAAAAAAAACGTATATTATACAGTCCATTCAAACCAAGAACATGGTCCAATCGGCCCGGATCGTACTTAGTAAAATATAATCGTTTACGTATAGTGTATAGTGTTAAATTATTTAAGTGCTAAATTTAACTGGAGTTAAAAAAAATTTCCCGTCCGAAGAGAGGCGTATAACAAACGCAATGGCTGATAACATTGTTTCGCTAAAGGCAGCGCGTGGAGCACTTAAAGGTCAGCTCACAAGAACGTTAAATATACTCAAAACAACACCGGAGAGTTTAGACGCTAATCAGCTGTCGGTGAGAGTAGAGAGAGCTGAAGGAGTATTGTGTGAATTTAACAAGATTCAATTAGAGATAGAAATTGCACTCCCAGAAGAGGATAACGAAAAATATCGTTCTGATTTCGAAGATCTGTATTATGAGACGATAGCTGAGTGCAGAAATATTATTAATAAGCTAAATAAAAATGTAACTACGGATAATATGGAGATTAGAGTTTCTGATATCAATCTAAATAGTTCTAGTCCGAGTAACTTATCGGGTGTTTCAAACGGCAACAACAATGGAATTTATTCGTTTGCAAAACTAGCTCCGATAAATTTACCACAATTTTCGGGCGAGTACTCAGAATGGGCAGCGTTCCATGACATGTACATAGCGCTTATACATTCAAATTCAGCTCTTTCAAAAGTACAAAAATTCTTTTATTTAAAATCGTCATTAAACGGTATAGCAGCTAATGTGGTGAAATCAGTCGAATTAACTGAGGTCAATTACGACTATGCGTGGTCAGCCTTAATAAATAGATATAACAATAAAAAAATGCTCGTTCAAGCCCATACGAAGGCGCTGTATGACATTCAACCAATAACGAAAGAATCTTCGTCTAAATTAAGATGTTTAATAGATAAAATTATTAATAACATGAATGCTTTAGAGACCCTCGGGCAAGACCCTAAAGCTTGGGGTTCTTTACTCGTGCATTTGATAACGTCTAAGTTAGATCAAAAAACTTTAAAGGAGTGGGAAACTGAGGCGCCGAAAACAGTGGTACCCTCCGTATCAACATTAATGGATTTCTTGGAAACTAGATTTAAAATACTTGAGGCTGTAGAAAGTTCGTGCAGTTCAAATGACAAGTCTGAGAAAAGATCCTACGAAAATTATGGAAAAGGAAAGGCGCAAGAAAAAAAATGGCAAAATAAAACAGTTATGCACGTAGCGACAACGAAATTTAAATGTTACGTGTGTAATGAAGGTCATCCGATATACAGATGTACTAAATTTTTGTCGTTATCGGCGAACGAACGAAAAGAGCAAACAATCAAATTAAATTTATGTGAAAACTGTTTAACACGGCATACGAGTCCGTGTAAAGCGAAAGGTTGCCGTATATGCAATGATAAACACAATACATTACTACACCAAGATAAGGAAACAGTTCATAATTCTGCTACTGCATTGCACTCGTCAGGTCGTTACGAAAATCAAGTATTATTATCTACAGCTATTGTAAAGATAAAAGATAGAGCAAACAAAACATGGTACGTGCGAGCGTTATTAGACTCAGGGTCGCAAAGTAATTTTATTACAACTGATTTAGCGAACGGTTTGGGTCTATCTAAGCGCAAAGTCAAGGTAACCATAGAGGGTGTAAATAAATCAATCACACAGTCTCAATATTCAATAGTAGCCACTATAGAGGCTAACTGCACCAGTTACAATAAAACAATTGAGTTATTAACTTTGCCAAAAATAACCACTTTACTTCCAAGTGAAAACATTAATGTGATCCAGGAAGAATTGCCAGACAATATTAAACTTGCTGATCCATCATATGCTGTGCCTGGCAAAATAGATATTTTAATTGGAGCTGCATGTTTCTATGAAATATTGTTACCCGGTAAATACACCACTAATAATAGCAGTATTATTTATCAAGAAACTGAACTTGGGTGGATAGTAGCGGGATCATTATGCAAATTATCTACACCAATTACAAATTCATTTTTTGCTCAGTCGTTATCAATCGAGGATAAAATAGACAAGCAATTAACCAAATTTTGGGAAATCGAAGAAATAGGTGATAAAAGATCGTTAAGCGAAGAAGAAAAATTATGTGTTGATCATTTTAATCGGACAGTAAGAAGAAATGAAGCGGACGGTCGTTTCATAATTGAATTGCCTTTCCGAGAAAAAAGCATTCAGCTAGGTTGCTCCCGAGGAACGGCTTTTCGTCGTTTTTTGTCGACTGAAAAACGTCTAACTAACAATGCAGACTTAAAAAAGAGGTACGTGGAATTTATGAATGAATATGAGCAGTTAAATCATATGTCCATAATTAGTTCTGATCAGGATAAAATTGAAGAAAAGAATTCCTATTTTATGCCTCACCATGCTATATTGCGAGACGATAAATGCACAACAAAAACACGTATCGTGTTTGATGCATCCTGCATAACCACTAATGGTAAAAGCTTAAATGATATTTTGTTAAAAGGACCGGTGATACAGGACGATTTGATGTGCATTTTGGCGCGGTTTCGAACTTATAAGTACGCGTTTTCNTTAGCTCCGATGCAAAGCTGAGAAGGTCATCACATTTCCAAAAAACACTTTTTGCATATTGAAAACCTAATAATGTATAATTTTCGAAAAGTTAATACTGGAAATATTTTTGAGAAATTTCGGAAAAGTTAAACATTTTTATATAAGAGCTTTAAAGTTACTATTTTATTTATTTAAATTAAATTACCTGTAATATAAAAAATACTGAATAACATTATTTTATTATAATTTCTATTTCCTAAAAACACGAAAATATGAATACATATGACATAAATGATAAAGCAATAGATCAAATACTTATATTAATTTTTAAACTATATTTAATTATCACTGACTAGTTTGTACATTAATTACATAATCACATTACATGGTATTCATGAAATGGCCACACCTCTTCTCTTTCTATTTTGCAGGGATTTACCAGTCAGCTTGTTTAGATCACCTATATAAAAAGTAACTTTAATTGTTTCATTTATAACTACTTGTTCTAAGCCCCCGGAATCTACAACTTCGATAGATCCTCGATGCTCACCAATTGATCAAATCCTCTAACATCCCAATTTGCTCAATATACAACCTTTTATTTTACTTATATTAATTACTATAAATTAAATTAATCGGATGCTCGTATCAGATAATAATTAATGAGAGGTATAACTCTTATATTTAATCACAGTCTATTTAAATGCTCATTTATAACTAAATTTATTTAAAATATTTAAAGTCGTTTTGTCTTAATCTCATGTGATGATAAACATATAAATACCATTATATCTTTACTCTTTTAAAATTTATACATATTAAAATAAGGTCATGAATATTTTTAAATTAAATTATACAAAAATTATAGTTGACATTAAAGAAAATTATAAAGATTTCTTTATCGTACTCAAAATTATTATACTTATACAACATTAATTTTGTTTACACATTATACAGGGTGATTTTTTTATCATAACCCACTCAATTACTTGCAGAATAATAATAATTTAAACATTTTTTTTTTTTATTANTACTTAAATTATATGTATAATTTACGTACTTCACTAAAAAAATGATAATAAAAATAGTTAAAATATTAAAAATTTAAACGCACACCTTTTTATTTAATTTTTAATAATTTATGGCCATTAAACAAAATGTTTTATTGTTTTGGTTTTACACATTCAGAAAATTGTATGGTTTGTAACTTAAAAAGATTGTATAAAATTGTTCATTTGAATTGAGTATATATGTTAATATATGTAGTTAAGGGCTCAATACATGTACACCAGTACGGACTGTATTAACCTGCAAATAAATGACTTTTTCAAAATTTTGAAAAATATAAAACTTTTTTTATTCATCAATTTTAGGACAAGTATTTATTGAGTTACAGGCATTTTAACACATAGAGCGTGTATACAACGTGGGCAGAGTATATACCAATATGAGCTGCACTTCCCTCACTACATATTCTCTTTATGTATTAAAATGCTTGTAACTCAATCAGTATATATCCTAAAATTGTAATTGATTCATCATATTGTTTTTTTGTAAAATAAGTGCTATATACGACTATTTTAAAATGTTGAAAAAAAAAAAAAAATTCTTTTTAAGCTGTTGGTTTTGTGATGGTGTGTATTTTATTTTTATTTTTCCATGAAAGTCTTTAACTCTCACTAGACTGATTTTAATAATGACCGAAATTTGGAAAAAACCTTAATTTTAGAAATGTATAAAAATTATTCTCAAAATTACGATACTATGATAAATGACATTTTCAATATTATTTTTTTGCATTTTAAACTGCTATAATTTATTTTAAAATTAAGATCCTCATGAAATTTTGATAGAATATATTAGAAACAAAATCCTAAATTTTGATATGATTATTGTTGAAGATTAATAAAAAATCTAATAAGAAGTACAGGAAGGGCATGAAAGATATTATCTTCGTACGTTAAAATTTTTTTACAACTCAATTTCTAAAAATGTTTTGAAAATTATGCCCTAGAAATTATAAAATTATTTAACAATTTTATAAAAATTTTTACAATTTTAGTTTAATGCATAATGAAAAATTATACTTTAATCATTAAAATTAAATATATTATTATTTTTGAAGAAATAAAAATAGTTCTATTAAGTATTGAGGATAACGGTCAAGTCTCAACCGTAGTATACAGTTTGTCTTTAATATATAATACATTTTTTTACATCTACACCCATATTTATTATTTATAACATTTTATATTACTAAATCTACCCAAACATACAATGGAAAAAATTAGTGACTTAAAAAACATATTTTCATATGTTTCATAAAAAATGTTATAGTACAATTGTTGCCTTCTTTGTACTCTTAGATTAAGATGACTTTAAAAATCTACATTAAATTTGAAATAAGCGAGAGTAAATTGAGAGATATTATTAATTAACTTTAGAAAATTATTTTCGGTATTTTTTAGTTTCCTATATTTTTCATTTATCAGTTATTATTTACTTTTACAATAAATTTATTATGCCTTATAAAGATAGCTATTAATTATTATAACTAAAAAAAATTAAAAATATTTTTTTCAATATTGCAATTACTTTGCGTGTAATTGAGTGAGTTGGTTAGTTCGTAAATGGATCACTCTGTATGAGAAAAAATATTCGGAAACACATTATCATTAGTAACATATATCTCATTTTATAAAATTTTGAAGTACACACAGTTGCACTGTAAATGACGATATATTTTGTATTACGAATAAAATCTCATGGTAACACATTCAATATCAAATTTTTCAAGGTCGTGCTAATATCACATATTATTCCGTATTCCTAGTTAACTCATCAATATGTCTGTGACTTATATGACTTCTTAAATTTTGTGCATTTTTATGTCCTGTTATGTTTCTATGTAAAATTAAACTAACATATATTTTTAGTAACGTATCATAGTAGACAGTTTTTTCTCTAGAGTTTAAATCTCGAGTTAGACCTTTTCATTTTGAGACGAAATTCAAAGTTTTTAGAGTATACACTGAATGGAGTTTTTTATATTTTTTTACATACCCCAGATAATTTGCGACTTTGAAATGTAGCGTTTATTTAGATATCACTAATACATCGGATTTATTTATAAGCTCTGTATTATGCTATATTTTCTTTTTTGTTATTACAATAAGTATAATTGCATAATTTAATTGGATAAATATTAATCTATATAAAATTAGCACTATAATTTTTCAAATATAATTTTTTCATGCCTGATTAATATGCAATCAGTGCTGTACTAACTGCATTGGCTTCCTAGGTCAGTCATATAATTGGTGTCTCTATTTAATGTAATAAAACCATGTAGCAAAATACATCATGTGCAAAAATTATTTCTTATCATTTTGACACACCCAAATGTAAGGCGCCTATTATATTATATTGTATTATAATAAATTTTAATGTTATATTTAAATTTGAATTATATTTCAAACTATAGGTAATAAATATTTCTAGTACTATATTGTATTTATAGACAAAGTTCGAACAATTTTTTAATTATACCCATTTTCTTGTACGGCGTAGCAAAACAAGAATGTAAATGCATTAAATTTACAGGCCTAGTTATGTTATAATATTAACAAAAAAGTTGAGTTAGTACAACTAGCATAATATTTTAAGAAAAAATAAACTTATAGTTAATAGAAAATTTATCTTAACTTAAGTATATGTGTCAAAAATAAATTAATTAATATTGATAATGAGAGCAAATTATCATGTTTATACTTAGTCTTTTATCAATTTGAAATAATAATATCAGATTTTTCCTTACAGAAAATCATTAACTTAAATAACTTGAAGGTGTATCGAAGGATTTGATTTGAACAATATCAACTGACTAAAATGTTCACGAATTCAAAGTATTATAAGTGGTTCACTTAGGCTATTAAATGAGTTTAAAAAAGTCCTACACTTCTTAAAAATTTTATTCTTATGATTAGAGTATTAAGTAAAACGATGTATTTGAATTTTACAAAAAATTATTTTTATAATTTATACATACAAAATTAATGAGATGTCACTTAAAGAAACGCGTTTTCATTTCGACATTATTCACAAAAATATGACATTTTTGTTATTTAATAAAGTGTTAACGTAAGTGAATAATAATTTATAACGTCAAATGGTCTACTGATCAACCACTTGTTTTTTTTCTAATAAATTGTCAGGTATAAAATACATGCTCTTATTTCTCAAAGTATATTTTTTATCATACAAAATTTTTTTTTTTATTAAATAAAAATACGTCTAAATATAATCTATAAGTATAAGCCTACTAGTTTTCAATAGTTTTAATAAGAAAAAAAACAGTACGGTCGGACGGAAAGATTGAAACCTAACTGTGGCATATTTGATTACTCTGGTTAAAGTTATCTTAGAATAAATTATATATAATATAAAATAATATAATAACTATATTATTGATAATGTAATTATTACGTTACATTATATTATGAAATTATTTTGAGAAATTTTTACATAATAACTTTTTTTTCGATTTATAATAAAATCTAAAAAATAATTTATCTCCAAAAAACAATCTTCAAATTAACTACGTTATCGTTTAGTAATGAAATATGTAATAAACCCTTAGGTCGTCTAATTTATAAGTTAAAATATTCTCTTGCATTATTGATCAGATATGTGCTTTTTTGAAGACTCGGTTTAATACATGGCCGCATTAAGACATTTAAATTTTTAAAAATGATATATTACTTGATATAATGTAAACATTTGTCACTGAGAACAAAAAGGACATTCTGCTTTCTTCCAAATTTTACTCAATCATCCATATGATTTCAGTATAATATTTATTTTGAAGAAATTATCATACTATAACAATATAATAAGGACGTAACTCAAAAAATAACAATTTAGATGAAACACTTCAATGTTTTGGTATCCAATTTAATTAAATCGTGTATTTTTTTTATATTTATAATAATTCATATAAATTTTTATAAATAAGGCCTTCATTAAATAAAGAATAATAG